ATGTACCATGTTATAAGCTGACAAATGGAGTCTTTTGTTATTAATTATGTTTTTTTTTTTTTTGTGGTGATTTCAGTACAAGGGAGATGATTAGTAAATTAAATAATTTTATGAATTTCTGGATACATTTTAATTCTGTCTGCTTGCTTAAATAACAGGAAAAATGGAAAATCAGTAAGTAGTTTCATTTTTGTTCTTTATTGCCGAAGGTTGCAGAAATCATCAGTTAAGAGTAGACAGTTTAATCGAAAATAAAAGAAAGTTTCCCCTTGGATAATGCCATAATTTAATTCGTGTGAATGCTGGTGAAATTTCTGGTTTCTAAGCTGTGGTTTTCTGCTCGATTAGATTTTCTAGTTCAATGTGAAGCAATTATTAAACCTTCTGTTTCTTGTGCACTGTATCAGCTTGGAAGGCGTGTAGAGTCGATGGTTCTGCCACTTGAACTATTGCAGCAGCTCAAGCCTGCAGATTTTCCTAATCAGAAAGAATACGAAGCATGGAAGAGGAGAAATTTGAAGCTTCTAGAAGCGGGGCTGCTTTTGCATCCTCACCTGCCACTGAACAAGGCAGACGCAGCTCCACAGCGCCTCCACCAGATTATTCGTGGGGCATTAGATAAACCAATTGATTCCAGAAAGAACATTGAATCGATGCAAGTTCTCCGCAGTGCTGTTATGTCTCTTGCTTGTAGATCATTTGATGGGTCTTTTTCTGAAACTTGTCACTGGGCAGATGGGTTTCCATTGAATCTGAGACTCTACCAATTGCTCTTAGATGCTTGTTTTGATGTTAATGATGAATCAATTGTTATTGAAGAGCTTGATGAGGTTTTAGAACTCATAAAGAAGACTTGGGGAATCCTTGGAATGAACCAAATGTTGCACAATCTCTGTTTCCTGTGGGTTTTATTTTACCATTATGTTGCGACTGGCCAAGTGGAGGATGACCTGTTGTTTGCTGCCAATAATCTGTTGATGGAAGTCGAGAAGGATGCAAAGGCAAGCAAGGATCCAGAGTATTCCAAGATTTTGAGTTCGACATTGAGTTCAATACTGGGTTGGGCAGAGAAAAGGCTTCTTGCTTACCATGATAGTTTCCATAGTGACAATACCGAATCAATGCAAAGCATTGTTTCTTTGGCAGTTATAGCAGCAAAAATACTGGAAGAAGATATCTCTCATGAGAATCGTAGGAAAAAGAAAGAAGTCAATGTTGCTTATGATAGGATTGACACTTTCATCAGATCATCATTGCACTCTGCTTTTGCTCAGGCAAGTTCATTCAGGCATGATTTCCCTATCTGTGATGATAGAATCTGCTAAATGAATATTCAATCTGACAATGGACGTAATAAGATGGAAGAACTTCCCACAAGCTTTACCAGTAAATATTTATCTCAAGTGTTTTTGGCATCCATTTTAGGACTTTTACCTTTCTGATAAAAGAAGTTAAATCATCATGAATATTTCATGTATGCTCAAAAGAAGCTTCTTATTTAAAACAACTTCTGCAAGACATGCATCTATCACAGGTTTTTTTTTTTTTCATGTATGAATTAATTCATGATGCCTTCCTTGCTCATTCTCAATTTAACAGGCATTTTCTATTTCTTTTGTACTTTTTCAGTTAATATATGTCTCAAATTTGGTGTCTTACAGTCTGTTTTGATCGTCTTAGAACAGAAAATGGAGAAAGTTAAGGCTAGCAAACAGTTATCTAGTCACCAGAAAAATCTCCCTCGCCTGTCTATTCTTGCACAAGAAATCAGTGAACTGGCTTTTAATGAGAAGGCAATTTTTAGTCCCATACTGAAGAGATGGCACCCCCTTGCAGCAGGCGTAGCTGTAGCCACGCTTCATTCTTGCTATTGGAATGAGCTGAGGAAATTCATTTCGAGTATCAGTGAATTGACACCTGATGCTATTGAGGTGCTGAGGGCCGCTGACAAATTGGAGAAAGATATTGTGCAGATCGCAGTTGAAGATGCAGTAGACAGTGATGATGGTGGGAAGTCAATAATCCAAGAGATGCCTCCTTATGAGGCTGAAGCTGTAATTGCCAACCTTGTGAAGTCATGGATAAAGACGAGAATTGACAGACTGAGTGAGTGGGTTGATAGAAATCTACAACAAGAGGTATGTGATACATGGAAACTAGCAGAGAAATTAATATATGTTTTCTGATTAGAACATTGCGGTAGTTATCCCTTTTGCATTATCCACGAAACGACCTGCCACCTTTATGATGCAGGTATGGAATCCACGGGCAAATAAAGAGCGGTTTGCTCCTTCTGCTGTTGAAGTTCTACGCAGTGTAGATGAAACTTTGGAGGCATTCTTCTTGTTGCCAATACCTATGCATGCAGTCCTGCTTCCTGATTTGGTCACTGGCCTTGACAGATGTTTGCAGAATTACATATTGAAGGCAAAATCTGGCTGTGGTATGCAATGCATAACCTGCAAACATGCATTGATTTTTATATGCAAACCCCAAAATAACTGAAAGTTTCTTTTCTATAATGTGCAGGGACAAGGGATACTTTCATTCCTACCATGCCTGCATTAACTAGATGTACAACAGGATCAAAATTTCGTGTATTTAAGAAGGAGAAGTCACAAATAACCCAGAGGAGGAAATGTCAGGTTGGGACTGTGAATGGCGATAGCTCCTATGGGATACCACAGCTATGTGTACGTATTAATACTTTGCAGTATATTCGCACACAGTTGGAGGTTTTGGAGAAGAGGACTGTTATCCAGCTTAGGAATTCTAACGCTACCAATGCAAATCATTTTGCTGATGGAACAGGGAAAAAGTTTGAGTTGTCAAGATCTGCTTTTGTTGAATGCATCCATGTTCTCTGTGAGGCAACAGCATACAAGGTTGTCTTTCATGATCTAAGTCATGTTCTGTGGGATGGCCTTTATGTTGGAGAAGTGTCATCTTCTAGGATTGAGCCTTTCCTTCAAGAGCTTGAGCAATATTTGGAAATTATTTCATCCACTGTACATGACAGAGTGAGAACACGTGTCATCACAGATGTTATGAAAGCTTCTTTTGATGGATTCCTGATGGTTTTGCTTGCTGGAGGCCCTGCTCGTGCTTTCACTCTTCAAGATTCTGAGATAATCGAGGAAGATTTCAAATTTCTCACAGATATGTTCTGGTCCAATGGAGATGGTTTGCCAACAGATTTAATTGATAAGTATTCAACCACAGTTAAAGATGTACTCTCCTTGTTTCATATAGATTCTGTGAGCCTTGTTGAGCAATTCAGAAGTCTGTCATTCGACAGTCACGGCTCTTCTGCTAAATCCAGATTGCCAATGCCTCCAACTTCAGGTCAATGGAATTCTACTGAACCAAACACGGTCTTGCGAGTTTTGTGTTATCGGAGTGATGAGACAGCTGCGAAGTTCCTTAAGAAGGCTTACAACTTGCCTAAGAAACTATAACAGCCTTAGAATAGTGGGATGACAAGATGGTGCAATTCTTTGGCAAAAAATCTGCTGCGCGATGATTATTGTAGCTTCATCGGTATTTATGTCAACCAGACACCAAAAGTTCCGACAACATGGTTTTGACAGGAGCTTTTGTCAAGAGGGGCTGTACCCACTGCATTAGAATAAAATCCTTGTATTTATCGGTTTGATTCCTTCAGTTTGTATTCTTCACCAGTCAGTTACAGAGAACTTCACAGGACTACGGACCTACGCCTTTGCATGGAGAACTAACAACCTAGCAATTTATAAACCTCAAGCAAAGGGTGCAGGCATAGAATAACCAGCAAGTTGGTTTTTTACTCCACGATGACAACTATTGTATAATCAGAAACATTAATTACACCTTCGTTTTCCTTTTTCCTCTCTTTATTCCCCCATTTATCTTAGAACACAGGTGGTGGAAAAACATTTTGGGCTCTCCAAGGTATCATTGGAGGTTCTATTGGGTGTCATGGGCATAAGCGACTGGAGCCTTCTCCTCTCGTACTAATCTTTGTTGGTTAAGGAAGTGGGAAATGATGGGCAAAAGGATATCAAAGGCTTGAGAATTTATTATGAGAGCAGCTGTTGAGCTTGTAAATTGAGAATTTCTATCATGTAGTTTTAAGTTCCAGAAAATTGAGTTAATCCTTTAGCATGGAACATAAGCTTTCAAACAAAGGAATACGATTGCAAAGTCTGCGTTTCTTGGTTGATTATAAGCTGGATGCTTTCTGATTTGCTACTGTAAATGAAGTTTCTCTTCGGAGATGCAGGCAGATGGTTAAGTTGAATTTCATAGATGCAGAGATTCAATCCACTGTAGAAGACCAAAAGTTCTGTTAGAAGCCTGAACCTTCAGGGCTAGTTGCAGTCTAGTGTTGATGGTAATTAAGCGGACGGCAGAATGGCATTTAAATCTCAGGTAAGAAAAGAGTATAACCAGAGCAAAAGAGAAATCTTGAGTGAGACCTCGATAGCCGTGTGGCTTGGTTGGAGGATGTAAGCAGAAGAATTGACTCCATGAATAACTAACATGATGCCGGAAAGATAGTGAAAATCAAGTTCTCTCGAATTTTATTTTTTTATTTTTTGGTTAAAAATTTCTAATTTTTATATTTTAAAAAATAAAAAAAATATATATTATTTCAATACATTTATAAATAAAAAACATATGACCATTAACCACTAACACAATTCCAAACAAGTATCCTCTATCTTGTTCTCCATCTCGGGCTGCACTTCGCCTACCAGGCATATTAAAAAAAAAAAAAAAAAAAACCCAGAAGCCAGAAAGCTTCGTTGACAAAGAAAACTGTCAAATGAATTATCTCACGTATACGAGACATGTCATTCATCATATAGCATCAACATGCTCAGTACAGATCTAATGGTATTAATCCAAAATTGATTAGTCCTGTGTGCATCAACATGCTCAGTACAGATCTAATGGATTCAAAATTGATTAGTCCTGTGCAAGACATCATGATGTTAGGACCAATACAAGATCATACGTGGAGACTGCAAAATCCTTCTACTGGTTTGCTTTTTACTGTGCTAATGATCAAATATGCCTGCAAGATCCCTCTCAAAAGCTTCTTGATTGTCATTTATATGAATTACAGACATATGAGCACATTAGCCTATAATTTATTTCACTAGTGCCATGGGTTTCTCTTCCCTGTTCCGCTTCTTTTTGAGCTGGAAGTTGAGCTTGCTTTCTGCAATGGGAACAAGTAGAACGCAGTTAGAGTAGGAAACTAGGTTTCAATCTCAAGCCACGTACCAGCAAACATCAATCCATCATGCTCACCAATTTTGATTTTTTGGTCTTCCCTCGAATCCTGTTCTTTGGAGGTTTCAATTTGTAAATGCGAACCATCCAATGGTGAGTTGTGAATACCTAAATTGACAAGAACCCAAATTCTGATCAAGAAAAACAAAGTTTTAAAAGAATACTGTCATCCTCTACTACTAGTCATTTTCCCAAAAATAACTTTAGCATTTTCCCATGCAAAGCCTTAGGTAGCCGCACAGCATAGGAAATTGCGTTGTTCACATGCATTATTTCACTTGAGTTTTAACCATGTGCAAATCAATATTACTGTACCTCCTCGAAATGGGTAAGTTTGAAGTACTTCTTCCCAATTTCTGTCTGCCTAACTCTGTCGAAGGCTTTACCATCAGTTTCCACAAACCTGTAACAAAACACAAATAAATGTCGTAACTTCAGAAACAAATATATACTTCACATTTAAATAGTTAGGGTGAGAGCAAAATCAGACCTGTAATATGATAGCTTGTACATGAGACAATTTAACATGGTTGGAGTGGCCTGAGAATCGATCCGGTATTGACCATCTCTCTTTGGACAGAAGGAAAGGAAAGAAAAGTCAATAAGAATAAGCATCTACCAGTTTTAACCATGATGCACAAATATCTATTATTTATTAAACAAGTAACATTTTTTTACTAGGACGAATCCAAAGGAACAGAATGTCAGTCATGTGCAACTCATATAAGTACTCACTAAATAATCAGGTTCTTTGATATGAGGGAACACCCCCCCTCCTATACGAACCATCCACAGGAACTTATTAATGTCATCACTGGGGTAGCCAACAAGACCTGATCAGTTAAGCGATCCATCAGAACAATATATTTATTTCAAGTGAAGACTGATCTGGACACATACAGATCTAAGCATGTAAAGAAGGAAGGTAACAAACCTCCAAAGACAACTAGAACATATTTTACATCCAAGGAGCTAAAGATTTCCCAGGCTGCCTTCTCAGGAGAAGACATAGCAGTACCAACAGTTGCAATGTGCGTGTTATTCCAGGTGTTATTGTCAACAATAACAGTGCGGTTAGCCATTGCAGTTGTTTGATAACCATAGTCCCACCATGATGCAACCTGCATAAATTAAAAGTCGATTCATCTATCATTTGGCGAAAGCAACCAAATTAGGAAGTTAAAAGTAAACAAAAGGAAACAGCTCCTAAATAGGCTACAAACTGTTAAATAACATTTCATGCTACAAAAGTACAGGTACGAATGCAACTAATTAAGGGGATATTGAGCCAATATATCACAGACAAAGCTTCTTCCACCAAGCAGCAGCACTATGACATGCTGTTGTATATTCATTTTCAAGCTTATCATAGTATCATCTCAATGAGATTTTATGCACCAGTTTAATTGTCAAGCAAATTATACTCATTTTCCTTTTTTACATTTTTATGTTTTCTAAATAAAGGCATGATAGTTCTACTTGCTCAATCCAAACATTAACACAATACTGATCGTCAAATTCTGTAATCTGTTTGAGCCTTTCATGGTTAAACTTCTAGGGGTGGCTTTGGCACATAAAACCAATACCACTGTACATAGAGCTTTGGTTTTACCTTTCCAGTTAACTAGAGGTCATAGATTATAACATTACTATAACGAAGATATCTGAAGCCTGATTTCTAATAGACTGCTGTCATTTTATAAGACCTGGAGAATATAAAAAGTCAGTCTATCCACTTAACACAGATAAGACTCTATAAACTAATACCCTTGGGACCATGGAAATTTCTTATTTAATGCAGATATTATTTACACTTCAAATTTAAGTCAAGACTGAACAAAAATATTGTTTTATCAAAGTTATTAATTTATTGAGAGGTAATTTATTGAGGTTATCCTGTAGTTTCTCTTACAAGCCCATAAATATGATTTCCAGGCATTTCAAATAAAATATTTCAATATTTTGATATAAAACAAAAACATAATGCTAGGAAGCTTTTAGATGTCCTACCACTTACCATAAACTTGGAACATGATTATTAAACATGTTGCAGAATCCATGATCATCAAATGGGCACAAGAAGATGGTAGCATGGTAAAAACTTACTTTATCATCCACCTCAGTATTGTGGCTTAGCCATGCATAAGCCTCTCTGAAATCATCAAAAACATGAAGCCCACCATCTCGTGAATAAGTTGTTAAAACAATAGAAGGTGCCGAATAAGCTTCAGCTGCTGCCCAGACACAATGAACCTACAAAGATGAAGGTAAGTTGTAATCAGATATAATCCTTCAAAATTTAAGCAATAACGGGTAATAAATAAGAGGAAACAAATTTGTCTCCACCAGATAAAACAAAATGATAATTACAGGCATAACCTTTGAGTTGCAAATTCCTATGGAATGTCATTATGCTTAGTTCATATGATCAGATCAAAACCTCAGACTGTCACTTGAAGAGGAACGAGAACAGGGTTGGAGAGAGTATTCAGTTCATTATTTTGAGCATTAGGTTCCACTTTGTCTAAGTTGTTTCCAAAATACAACTTCTAATTAATTCAAAACACATCCTCCTCTATCCAGAAAGGATTACAAAATAATTATTTACATTACAAGTTTCCACCTTCCTGCTTGTGAACTTTCTTCCAAGGTGCTAGTAGTGGTTGCAAGCTAAGCATGAACATTAAGAGCAGCTTCCACCTTGCAAGCACTAACCTTCTTCACCATGAAAGTATGACGTAGTTTATGGTGAAGTGAGTTCATTCTAAGCAACTTCATTTTGCTATAGCCAATGCAATTTCTCAAGGCAGCATTTACATTACTAAGCTCCAAATTAACTAACAAAATCCTATACCTGTGTGACATGCTAAATGTGATTTTTTTTTATTTTTTATTTCATTTGTATCAACATTTCAACCATGGCTGCCAGTTCAGTTTTAAGAGCCTGCAAGAAATGGTTGAAAAGGCTACTGCAGACAGTTTATTCAGCTACATAAGACCTCTGTCTTCCTCTCTATGGGTTTGTATAAGAGGAAATCTTGTGTTTATAACCATATCGGCTGCTCATCCCAAACAGCAACTGTTATGGTCAGAAGGACATAGGGGCAAAAAAAACTACCATGCACAACATGGAGAAGTGGCATAGAAAATACCAAAACATGAGCAAGCATGTGCAATCTCACAATATAGGGAAAAAGAAAAGGAGAGTCTATGTACCACATAGAAAGCGCCAAGCAACACGAGCAAGATAATAGCAATGACAGATGACTCCAAAGGTAAAACAAGAAGTCTCCTTTCAATCCGGGACCTTATAGAGGCTTTCTCCACAGGCTCTTTTTCTTTCTTCCTGTTCTTTTTTGATGGTCGTTCTTTTACTGTCTCATCCATTTTCTCAGTCTTGGCTATGTCATTTTGTTCTCCATCAGTATTCAGACTGGTATCCCTTGACTTAATCATCGAAAGAATCAACAAAACCTTAGTCAGGAAGTTGACTTTACAAATAATTGAGCGAGCATAAGCCAACAGTAGAGGAAAGCAAGCATGCTTAAATCAACCTGGGAAGTCCCTGATGATCCAGGTAGCTGAAACTTGATTGATCGTGTTAAGACATTAAAAGCTTCAGAAAGGGCGATCCCAGACATGATGCATGCTGCTGGAGCAAGCACGAGCATAAGACGCACCTATGGTATGAGGAAAACACAATGAGCACGGGAACTAATGAGCAGAGGCAAAACAGAAAATCGAAGAAATTAATTGTCCCAAGATTCTTCTCACCATGACACCAGAAAAATATACAGATGTTACAATATAAAGCACAACAAAGGAGCTTGCATCTGATAAAGGCAAAAAGCATGCCTGCCAAAAAAGAAAGACCACAATGAGATACATCAGTGAAGTGATAGGTTAAAGAAAAGCTAAGTTGCATTTAAAACATGTAACTTACAATAATCCCAGCTGGAACCAAGAAAGCCAAAACATTAATGTCCATGAAGTAAGATGGCCAAGTAGGGGGTTGATGTTCACTGACACTAGCAATGATTGGTATATACTTGCTTGCATAAGTTCTGTCATAATGCAATGGAAATAAAAATGGGTCAGAATGAGTGTCACAAAAAACTTTTGGGAATATCAGTCACTAAAACAAACAGCTGAATAAATGTCTTCATGCAAGGGCATGAACATGGACTAATTAATAAATACAACTGGGATAGCATGTCAAAGGGATTGCTTATGTGTCACAGGAAGAGGATGACCGGGGGAGATATGGAGGTCTGTTCATTTGAAACAGGCTACATGAAGCCCACTAAAGGACCAAAGAACTCAAATCTAAAAGTTCAGGTAGGTTAAGATCAGATTGCACCAACCCAAGTTCTATCTTTGAATAAAACCTTTAGAGTCCATAGGATTGCATCGATTCAGAGGTAATTCTAGATACTTACGGATCAAGCAAGCTCAAACTTCGTCCGCTCCATCCCTTTGTTGGGCTAGAAGCTACCAGTGCTATTAGAACAGCTATCATAGCACAGCACACTACCCTGTTGAATACACGGTATTTAAGTATGGAAATTAGTCTCATGTTCAATCATAACACATAAAATATTAGGAAATATTGATTCAATATGTATCCAAACATCCATGAACTATATTCTTCTTCATTTTGGTACACCAACTTTCCTATTGACTACTGCTACAAAAAATCTATTGATTTTTCCTATTTATTTTTCAATCATATGATTTTCCATTTTTTTATTAAAATGATAAATATTTTAAATTGTATTAATAATTTATTTATTACTTCTGATTAATCATAAAATAGTTTTTAACCTTAGTGTAGAACTTAGATAGCTTACCATCAATCAAAAGTCTGTTCTTCTTAAAAGGATCTATTTAAATTCAAAATATTTCACTCATTAAACATAATATCAATTTGGAGGCTACTTTTACCAAGGAAAAAAAACATACCAGAAAATGAGAAATTGATGAAAGTACATAAATGGCACAATCAAAAAAGTTTATGCACCAAAACAAAGGGGATTAAAGTCTACGTATTTGATTGAAATAAAGTGAAAGTTTGTGTACCAAGATGGGCTGAGGTCAAAGGACACATCATCAAATTGCAGAACAATGGACATTAGATAGACAAAAGTACTTAATCAGAAGCTCAAACCAAAAAAAATTAAAGTCTATGCACTTGAATGAGAAAAGTTGTCAAGTTTTGCACTACTAGTGTAATTATCCCCTGCTTTCAATTAAAAACGATGATGAGGGAAGCTCACAGGCCCACAGATACAACGAGCGTAACAGCCACTTTAAACATTCTTGGAGAGAGATTCTCTTTGACATGGTACACAAGAGCCACCACATGGATGATAATGAAAACCTGGAGAAGTAAAATTAGTACCAAGACAATGAATCAAGAAAGAAACACAGATACAACTGCCCTATTGCTCATGTATAGGGACCTTTCTGGAAATCTAAAGTACGCATCAATAAGGGCTCTATTGCTCATCTATAAAAATGACTCAATCTTAATACATTTATTTATTTCATGTTCCTACTGATAAAACCCTAAAAGCATGCTAGACCTCTCCATACCAATAGCATATAATAAAATCTTGCACTACTACATAGTAGTCTCACACAGAAAAGTAACAGAACCCACTAGATCTCTAACTTGAAAGAGACAGCATGGCACAGCCATCCAGAAAGATTATTGCCTGCAACATTTTTTCATTTTTCACAATAGATAACATTTCTAAGGCAAGTATAAAGGCTGCTTTCCCCCTTCAAGATGAACAAATAACCAAATTCATGAATTTTAAAAAAACGTTGTGTCTGCATGGATTATGTTTCAAAACAACTCACCAAAAATGAAGCAAAATGTTCTGATGTCATAACTGCATTAAAACCAACAACAGGCACCAAAGCTGCTAAAAGCGTTCCTAAAACCACCTGCATTGAAATGTCCATTTCAATTAAAACCAAGAAATTTCATTTGTGTAGAGATGACCATTGGAAGTCTTCAATGTCTAACCAAGGAAAATTTCTTTACAAAAATGCATCAGTTAAACTAGTCATCCGTTGATAGATAATAGACAGCAAAAACAAAGATGCATTCTTTGAATATTGTTCCCAAGCCCATGACTTGTAGCTAATATGTCAAAATAAGAAAAACAAGTGGAAAAAAGAAAAACTGCTCACCCATTGACAGGTACCAAACACAAAAAGAAAAGGTTTGTTTTTTAGGGTTATGTTTGGTTAGTGTCCTAGGAAAAAAGGGACATAAACGTGTTTGGTTGGAGGGACAAAGACAGAGATATAAAATAAATTTGTCATTGGTACAATTTTGAAGTGAATTTATGTCCTTTCAAAATGAAGGTGCAGGTCCCCTCTATCTCCATTATCTACATCTCTTCTATCTCGAGACAATAACCAAACACTACTTAATTATTGCCTCTAAGCGTATGGCTTGTAACTAATACCTTAAAGCAAAAGCAAATTGCATGTGTTAACAATGTGCTTCAAAAGAGATGAGATAATTTCACATACATAGTGCCCTATAAGTAAAACAAGAGACGAGTATTGAAACGTGCCCCCCACAAAAGCACACCCCAAGTTGCATGGGAAGAGGAAATCAATAAAATATGCCATTGCATTACGGTGATATATGTAAGTTAAAATAGTTATCATTTAATCATTGCTAATGAAAAGGTTCAGATTAGTTATCAAGAGTATGTAAACACCAAAAAGCAAGGTGAGGCTGACAGCCAACATCTACTCTCACCCATATGTATCCTAATATGCACCCTTGAGTCTTAACTCCATCGTAAGTATTCTTCATTAATGATCACAGAAAAAAAATGCAAACAGTTCCTTGTCTTGTCCAAAGACAAGCAATATTAGCATGCAATCTTCAATTACGGTGATAAAATATTATTTTTTTATTTTTCCCTTCACTGTAATACAAACTTAATGAGCATTATAGGCACTTACAAGAGGAGCATATGCAATGTACAGTCGGGAAGAAAAGCGACCAGTCACAATGCACAATAGCACATGCATTGGAATTAGATTAATAATAAAGGTGTACCCTCCCCATGAGCAGACCTGAAAGACAATAATATAACAATGAACATAAATATCATAAGGAATAATAAGATGCCAAAAAACATTATCACAAAGCCTACCATGTAAAAGTATGCCAAGGCATTTAAAGTAGCGTAAAAGAGGGATCCTGTATTCAATGTCTGCACATGATATAAAATCTATATCAGCAACAAATGAAATGTGAAAAACAAAAAAACACAGAACCAACAAGCAATCTATGGGAAACACATTAATGAAGTAAATCTATTAACCAGTGCATTAGATATCATTGCTCCTTAAAATAACAGTTTTGAGAAGAAGAATAAGGTGGAATTTTGCTTTTTCTAATTGACATCAAAGTTCTAACCTTTATATAGAGATAGAAAGTGAAGATAAGAGCAAATATGGCGACAGCTTCATTGTCATAGCTACCAGCCACAGATCGAGATATATATGATGGAACCTGTGAACAGGAGCAAATAACATAGCAGATAAGATTTTGACTTTCACATGTTTAAACATTCTGAAGGACAATAACAGAGTACAGAAGTCTTACAAAGAGAATACCTCATAAAGAAGGCCACGCCAACTATACAGATTTTGAAATATATGTCTAGAGTTTGAACATTGTTCTTTCAAATTTGTCAAACATTGCATCATCCAAATAATAAATAATAACATCTATTTCACCATAATCTTCAATCATCTACTAACCAGAATACTACCAAAAAAATACAACACTGTTCAATCGAAAGACATACAGAATATTAGAAACTAGGGGAGATAGTTTTTTTAACATTGTGATGAAGAACTTGTATTAACAAGTAATGCCTTATTGCTGCTGTTCAAAAAAATAAATACAATTACAAGGAAACACATAAGTTATGAATACCCGTCATATAATTTACCATGGCCAAAAGAACAGCTGCTGTCAGTCCAGCACCAGTACCCTTAACTTCCTATTGAAAAACAAGACATTTTAATGTCATCAGCAAAACAAACTCCAATGTACATAAGAAGAGACGTGAATAGGATCACAATATAAACCTTGGTCAAAAGGTAAGTTGCCCATGAGGCAAATGCAGAGAAAATTGGTGCAGTGAATACACAAACGGTCTCGACAGACAATGGAATGTTCAAGGAATTCAATAACCTGAAACCCACATAGTAATGACTCAAAGAAATTAGAATATATAGGACTCAGTAATACATGACATTTCAAATGTTCACAATTCATGGAAACTGCATCCAGCAACAAGCACAGAAAACTAACTTGGCAAATTTATGCCAGAAACTAATAAAAACATTTCTTATGGTTACCTACGAGGTACTCACCACCATAGTGTGCCTGCTGTCAAGGTCAACCCAGGGTAAACAGTTCCACCAATCACACGGCCGAGAGGATACCTTAATGAAATATACAAAAAACAATCAATTTAAGTTCTCATATAAGAACCTAGCAAAACGAACAGCTAACCAACAACAACTTTTCACCATGAGAATTATCTGCGCTTACCAGGTTCGATCATCAAACCAATTCCAAAAGTCATAAATCCCATTCTTTGTCAAAAACTGAAGCCATCAAAAATTAAATTTCTCATTCTCTATACATATTCGTGTATGTGTGTGTGTAAAGAAAGAACATTAAGCATTATATTAATGAAAGAAATCAAACCTGAGTAACTCTGTAATTGAAATAAGGATCGAATTCGTGAATAACACTCTCATACTTTATTACCTGAAAATCAATCCACAAGTTTACAAAAATGCAACTACCAACAAAACACACGAATCAGCCCTGATTCCAATAGTAACAGATTCGGATGCTTAAAAATCACAAACATTTACCTACCTAAGCCAAGCCAACCTTCTCAGTTTAGTTCCAGGAAAAAAAAAATTAAGGCAAACAAAAAACACTTATTTTTTTTCCTTCGCTTTTCATCTGCTTTCTCATAAATCAAATGGAAAAGACAGAGAATTTTCATCCATTCAAAACAATTCCAATTTTAAAATTTAAAACAATAACAATCAATTTTATTTTATTATATCCCCATTTACGCAGCAACGAAACGGCTAAAACACATAATAAACAGAAATCATAAAAAGAGAAGGCAATTACAAAGATCAGATCTAGAGAGAGGTTTTTAGGGAGAGAGTGAACTGACAGAGAAAAGGCGGATCGAGAAGGCGAGAACTCCAATCAAGAGGAGGATGAAGAAAGAGAGCACATTGCCAAACGCGTTCCGCAGCGTTCTTGCAGTTGCCTCTTTCGAGCTCTCTCCGTCCGCCATTGATAATATTCGTGTGTCTTCGTAACAGAGGGTTTTTTGGTTTTGTAGGCCGTCCAGTAGAAAGAGAAGACGACTTTGGGAGGAGCAGGGTAGTGAGTGAGGAAAGACTCGAGTAAGAAGGGTTTTTTTTTTTTTAAGTTATAAAAATAATTTATTTTTTTATTTTCGCATAGTTATAATATACTAAAATTAAAAATATTTTTTAATAATAAAATAATATATTTTTAAATAAAAAATAATTATCAAATAAACTTTAACCAAGAAAGCAAGTTTATTTAATAGTATGATTATAATTATTTTTAAATAATTTTTTATATTAAAATATATATCAATAATTTTAAAAAAAAAATTACTTTTATCATCATCACATTAAAATAATTAAAAATATATTAATTTAAAATTAATAAAAAATTTAAATTCTTTTTAAAAATACAAAATACAGAAACAAACAATTCCATCTCCTACCAAAAGGTGCCTCTACAAAATTCTTAAATTACAAATACAAGTCCAATCTGTTCATTCAATTGACATTTTTGTCCTCGTAATAAATAAGTGGTAAGTCCTTATTGGTCAGCCATTCTGATTGGTCACGAGCTACGTGTTCTTCCACGTGGTTTTTGTTGATTAGCAGGCTTTCAGAATCCGAGTCCTCACTATTCTGGAGCACTGACCCGAGAAATGTAGTACCGCCCAGCCCAACAACAACGACCCATTAGATTTCTGATATTTCCCCGTCAGACATTATTTATCTGATGGTGTTTTTATCACCAGCCGCCTCTCTGTCTCTCGTCCAGATCGCAGAAACTTTGTTGTCGAATCCCCAAATCCTCTTTTCTTTTTCGATTTAGGGTTAGGGTTTAAATCTACAGCTCCAATTATCATGGCGGCTTTAAAGGAATTACTGCCTCCGGTGAAATCAACCAGCGCAACTTATTATGATCATTCAAATGATCCGTGGTTCAAGCAGAGGTTTAGTTCATCTCAGGTTGAACAATCTGCTGGTGGTGGTGGGATCAATTATAAACCTGTACCTCTTTACTTGCAGCGGAAGGGTTTTGTTCCCAGGAAAGTTGAAGATTTTGGAGATGGGGGTGCGTTTCCAGAGATTCATGTTGCGCAGTACCCTCTTGATATGGGTAGGAATAAGTCTGCGAAACCTGGGTCCAAGATTTTGGCTTTGACTGTTGATGCTCATGGGAATGTTGCGTATGACGCTATTGTGAGACAGAATGAGAATGCTAAGAAGATTGTGTATTCTCAGCATAAGGATTTGATTCCGAAGATTTTGAGGAGTGAGGAAGAGGGAGATGAGGATGGCGATGGGGATGGGGATGAGGAATTGCAGAAAGAGATCGAGGACACTACGCTGGAAACTAAAGCTGCGCTTGAAAAGATTGTGAATGTCAGATTGAGTGCAGCGCAGCCGAAGAACGTGCCCAAACAGTCTTCGGATTCCAAGTATATAAAGTACAAGCCTTCGCAGCAGTCGGCAGCGTTTAACTCGGGTGCAAAAGAGAGGATTATTAGAATGGTGGAGATGCCTGTGGACCCACTTGAGCCACCTAAGTTCAAGCATAAGAGGGTTCCTAAGGCTTCGGGATCACCACCTGTGCCAGTTATGCACTCGCCACCTCGACCTGTGACTGTGAAAGATCAGCAGGATTGGAAAATCCCACCTTGTATCTCGAATTGGAAAAATCCTAAGGGTTACACAATTCCTCTTGATAAGCGTCTGGCTGCTGATGGAAGAGGTTTGCAGGATGTTCAAATTAATGATAATTTTGCTAAGCTGTCAGAAGCCCTTTATGTTGCTGAGCAAAAGGCTAGAGAAGCTGTTGCTATGAGATCCAAGGTTCAAAAGGAGATGATGATGAAGGAGAAGGAAAGGAAAGAGCAGGAGTTGCGGGCATTAGCTCAGAAAGCACGTTCTGAGAGAACCGGTGCAGCACCCCCACCTTCTGCTCCAGTTCCATTAGAGAGGGGTGCAATGGATGATGTTGACATGAGAGGGGATTATGAACACGTGAAGGAAAGGGAGAGGGATGCCCCAAAGGAGACAAGGGAAGAGAGGGAAGAGAGGCTGCGGCGTGAGAAAATTCGAGAGGAGCGCCGTCGAGAAAGGGAGAGAGAAAGAAGACTGGAAGCAAAAGATGCTGCAATGGGTAAGAAGAGCAAGATCACAAGAGATAGAGATCGTGACATCAGTGAGAAGGTTGCTCTTGGTATGGCCTCTACTGGAGCTGGGAAAGGGGGAGAAGTTGCATATGATCAAAGGTTGTTCAACCAAGAGAAAGGAATGGATTCTGGTTTTGCTGCTGATGATCAATACAGTGTGTATGATAAAGGCCTTTTCACGGCTCAGCCCACACTTTCAACTCTATACCGGCCGAAGAAAGATGTTGATGCTGAAATGTATGGAGGCGCAGATGAGCAATTAGATAAGATAATGAAGACAGAACGATTCAAACCTGACAAGGAATTTGCTGGTACTTCACAGAGGACCGGTCCACGTGACAGGCCAGTTGAGTTTGAGAAGGATGAAGAAGAAGCTGATCCATTTGGTCTGGATCAGTTCTTGACTGAAGTAAAGAAGGGTAAGAAACCGACAGACAAAGTTGGTACTGGTGGCACAATGAGAGCTAGTGCAGGATCTTCAATGCGAGATGGCCATGATGGAGGCTCTGGTAGAACTCGTATTGGATTTGAGAGAGGGCGTTAGGTATCCTGCTTTGAAAGTTTTATTTATGGCAAAATTGTGTAGTATGAACAAATGGTTTGTCGCCCCACCCTCCTCCCCTGGCTTTTCTGTTTTCCGCTGCTGTAATGTTTTAACTTGAAGCTTGATTTTTGGTTGATGCTAAACTACAAACCCCTGAGCTTGATTATTCATTTATTTAGCTGGGATTGAACTGTCAGGGTGTTGATTAATCAACAGCAATTGACAAGGTGATAGCCAGGACAGGCGCATATCTCTTGTGAAACTGCTTGATATTCTGATGGAGAGTGGTTCATAACATCTTCCTGGATAGAAACTTTGCTGGTCTAGTTTCATATTTAAATGTTTGAAACCACGCAACTGTTCAAACAACAAAATTTTGTATGATGCTCCATGCTTATCTCTCCTGCATTTGGATTTGCCATGTACTGAAAGAGAAGTAGTATTATCCATCACTTTAAGCAGGTTTTGTGTAAGCATCCCTTGGGCCTTTATCTGGTGGCTGGATATGAGAAGCAGTGTATGGTGGTTATGGTATTTTAAGATTTTGTTGTTTTTCATCTAGTGTTTAGAGTTTGTAGCCAAGTACACCGTTTTATTTTATGTTGTGTGCTACCAGCTTCGTCTTCAAATTGAGAATTATTCTCTTTAGTTAACCAGTAGTTTTTTCTTCGTTGTGTTAGCATTTTTTTTTTTACTTTAACATGTTTTTTTCTTTTCTTTTCACTTGTCTTATTTGAAGCAAATCCCATTAAAACTGCCTTAAGTAAATTGAATTGCTATTATTTTTTTCATTTCCAAGCTTCTGTATTCATTTAGCATTTCGAGTATTTGTTCTACTCAATAAAATTATTTTCCAGGTAAGTTTGGAACGAAGCTTTGAAGTATTGTTAATTCATAAGTTTTTGTTATTAAATCTACCTGGTTACTTAGGAGTATTATATATTGTTGGTGGAAAAAAGATTTTTTGTTCGCTGAAAATTAGTTTTTTTAAGTGAATTTTCAAAAAAATAAATTATTTTTTCATGTTTGGTATAATTTTTTGTTCGCTGAAAATTAGTTTTTTAAGTGGAATTTTCAAAAAAATAAATTATTTTTTCATGTTTGGTATTGTAATAAAAAATAAGTTGGAAAACACTTTTTAGTGTTTGATTATATCATACAAAATGAGCTGGAAAATAACTTATTAATATTTTATTTTTCTCAAGTTTATTCAAATAATAAGGAACAAATCTTACAAATTAAAATGTTGAATGAGAATAAAATTGAAAAAAATATATAATTTCACAAATTATCTCAAATAAAATAAATAATAACCAAAATAATAGAGACCAAATCTAAAAATAAAAAAGTAAAAGATGAAAGGAAAACACTTTATTGAAAACCAAGCTAAATTTTTTTTTAACTGAAAAGTATTTTCCGTTGACCAACTTTTCTAATGGCAAACAAGCACATAAAAGTTTAGAAGATGATTTCTCGAAAAACCACTTTTCAATAAATAACCACAGCCTTATGTATATATGATACATAGTTAGGGTTAATGGAAACCACTTTCCAGTAAAACAAACATAGCCTTATGTATATATGATACATAGTTGGGGTTAACATAAGTGTGTAATAACTTTTTAAAAAAATATGAACTAATAATTAACGAAGTTGTTTTGATGATTTATTATATAACATCTTACATTTAGATTAAGAAAAATATTAAATTACATAACATTCTAAAATGTTTGATAGTGTTGTCATGTTAATTAGATTAATATAGACAATTTATCATGGATGTGTCATCATCTTATAAATGATTGTCTTCATCCTGAATACATTATAGATGTTAGAAGATTTATCAATTTTATATTTCTAATTGATAAAAAATATATCAGGAAAAAAAATAGATGTCTTTATATGAGGTGCAAAAATAAAAGATTCTTAAAAGAAGATAATATCTTTAAGCACCAATTGACAAAAGCTTTTTTACTTAGTTATGAAAATTAGATTGTACACTAGGATTCTTGTGCCATAGAACCAATATTGCCTAGATCTTTATTGGTTGGGATCGGTCATGTTGTTAATGATGTTTCATTAGAAAATTCATGTAGAAATTTAGTTCTTAATGCAATAGGAGTTGGTGATGAATACTCTAATGATAGAGTTTCTAGTCTCGTGGTAGCATATAAGCTTTCAAATCCAGAAGCCACTAATTTTTATAAATTGTTGAAAATTGTATGAGCCTGTATGGAATAAGTGTGATAAACAATCTAAATTATTATTTTTTATATATATTTACTCAATATGAAGTCAATTTTAAATGCAACATAAATTACCTTTAATAAATTTATTGATTTTACAAAAAAATGCATGCTTAATGATAAAAATTTTGGTATCAAGTTTTTATGATGCCAAGAAATTTATGCAACCATTTGGACTTGGTATGAGAAATATGATATGATTTTTGTGGAAGTTTATGATACAAACCTAGAAATCCCACTAGAAACAAATTGTGATTTTTGTGGAAGTTCATGATACAAACCTAGAAATCCCACTAATAAATGTTCTAATAAGGTGAAAAAGCAATTCTAATGTTTTTTCTTGACACCAAAACTTTAGAGACTATTCATGTCTTCACATCATACCAATGATATAACATGACATCATTTTCATAAGTTAGATAATAGAGATATAATGCACTAATTTGATAAAGAGACATGAAAGGAGTTTAATCATGTCCACTCAAACTTTGCTTTAAATTCAAAAAATATTAGGTTAGGATTATGTACTCATAGGTTTAGGTCATTTAACATATCTTCAACTGTATATTCCTGTTGGCCAATAATTATGAATATTTATAATTTGCTTAATTGAAAGTGCATGATTAGATCATTCATGTTTTTGGTAATGATGATTCCGAGGCCAAAAAAATATAAGAAAAAAGGTTGATGTTTTTCTAAGACTTTTTATTGATAAATTGAATAAGTTGAATAAGTTGTGGTCTATTGGTGCTAAAACCAATGGTGTATATAGGAAGGAAAATGTTCAATTAAAGCTAATTATAATATGAAACATTAGTGATTTTTAAATATATAACATGTTATCGGGTCGGAGTATTCATAGCAAATTATCTTGTTCTTATTGTATATAGCATAACAAGACCTTTAAATTAAAACGTAGAGGGAATTTTTTTTTTTTTGCAAGACCTTTAAATTAAAACGTAGAGGGAAATTTTTTTTTTTCATTGACAATTCCTACCTATAAATCACCTATATAGATATCAATCAAATAAGATTTTTAAATGAGCAACTGAAAAGCTCCCTCATTTACCTCATTGATTTGGTTTCGAAATGTTATACAAAATATATAAGTTTACTTAGGGATATATTGGAAGTTCCTCACATAATGATAAAAATTTCTTACATTGGTTTTAAACATAATTGGGTGAAGAAGAACATTTTTTAGGAGCTTTCATACTGGTATGCAAATTTAATTCATCATAATCTTGATATCATATGTATTGAGAAAAAATTATTTGATAATATCTTTTACACAGTTGCAGATCAACTTAGAGTTTTGTATTGGAGGGGAAAACTGAAAAAAGAAGAAGTTAAATTTACACAAGGAACCAAAACAAAAAAACCAAGATCAAAAGAATAAAGATCAAATTTGAAAAAAATAACAAATCATAATTATAGATTCAATGATCAAATTGAAGGTAAATTAAAATTTGACAAAGGAACCAAGAATAAAAATTTAAAAAAATATAAATCAAAGTTGAAATATCAATAAATGAGAGGATAACTCTAAAATTTTGAATTGTTAAAACAAATTTTGAATGGAGAAAAGCAAAAGGACAAAAGTAAAAAAGAAAAAGTCAAGAAAGACACACCACCACTCTACTCAGAATAAAATATCTCGACATTTTCAATGTCATTATGGAAGTTGTCATTTGAATGCCAGGAAACACCACACATGCCACTAAAAGATTGCAGACATCTTCCATTACATACAATAAATTTTGGTTTTAAATTATATTTTATATTTATTAAAATATCAAATCTCCTATAAATCAACTTGATTATAATTGAAAAACAAAGTGGAAAAAAGAAAAAACCTAAATACTAGTTAAATAAGTTTTTGTTTTTAAAAGTAATTTAGTCTTTACTGTGTTTTAAAAATATAAAAAGACTAAGTTATTCTCAATCAGTCTAATAATAAATAATAAATCCTACAAAAAAATTCACATAACTTTTAATAATCAATTTATTAATTTTTTTAATAAATAGTAAAATAATCATCACATTATTATAATATTAGAGAAATAATGTTTTATCTCTCTAGTTAGCTTTTATTAATATAAAAATCATAGAATTCCATCTTTTAACAACATTAATCTTAACTTGTTTTCTTTCAAGTTTTGAACTAGATTAATATATTATTGGTAGATTCAAGAATTTTAGGTTTGTCATGGTACCCAAAACCCAAAATACTTTAATCTGATAACCCTTGCTAGACCCATGGAAATAATAAACAAATAGAGAATAATTGTATACTTTAGTAGTCATGAGAGAGAAAATAAAAAAATACAAATAATCTATTAGCGGTGGTAATTTAACCATGTCTGTCTACATACATTGCATCATATAGAAGAGAGCATGTCTGCGCATTTATCTAAATAATATATGGTTAAATTTGGCTACCAAAAGGCATCTCACATCTTACATGTCTCCTTAATGGCACAAGTGTTGCTACTTGTTGGTACGCATGATAAATAGTTGATAGCTTTTCAAATAAAAAATAGAAAAGACAATATAAAAATACTTAAATACTTTTATGAACCTCTTAATTACATACCATTCTTATATAAATTTTATTATTAAAATCCATAATAATTTGTACATGGAGATATAGTAAAATCTCGATATCTGTTATTTTTATTTTTTTATAATTATAATATAAGATTATTAGAAAAACCAAAAAATAAAAAAATTGATAAAAAATATTAAAAAAAAACACTCTAACCATTATGTCAAACTGTTTTATAATTTGAATTATATATTTTTTTTAAAAGGAAACAATCTGGATTAGTTCTCTTGCGTTAGTAACTATTGTCATTTTATTTTATTATAAAGGCGAGGCAAATATGAATAAGAATTGTATTTAAAAGGAATTTTTAAACGAAAAAATCCTTCAATTGTCAGGGGCCAAGGGGAAATCAAACGTTTGATTCCTTCAGCTTTTTGTTCATTTTTTTATATATTTTGTCACATGTAATTAAATTTCAAAAGTAATTTTTTTTCTATTATTAAATGACAAATAAAAAATTAAATTTGAATGAAAATCATAAATATTTACCTTCTACTTTTTTCATAGATTAGATGTTTAAAGTAAATATTTAATTTCAAGTACCTTTTCAATTTTTTTTATGAGATAATATGTGCTGAAATACACAGATATTGTATTGAACCAGCGAGTTCATAATCTTGTTTTTTGATAATTTGTTGTCTGGTTCCTTATAACACCATTAAATTTATCCATATCTTAAAAAAAATAAAAAAAATAAGACATA